GTAATATCCAGTTTTAGCTAAAATCCAAAACTAATCAGCTTTTAGTTTATTTTTAGTAATAAAATTGGAGTTTATTTAGATTAGGAAATAAATTCAATATTAGAGTTCAATTAGATTATGAAACAAATTCAATTTTGATTCATGATTTGTTTTTTCTATTATAGGGAGTTATTTTTTAGGATAGAATTTGATTGTCTATTTCTTTGTAACTCTAGTCTTACTAGGAGCCTTGTTTATTTTTTATTTAAGCTGAGAATTGTAAGCCCTAGAGGCATAACTTTTCATCAATAAAATTTCTCTTTTAATATTTTCTTCGTGGATTCGAAGTTCTTCGTGGATTCGAATATCGTTCTTTGTGGATTCAGAGAACACCCCTTGGTGGATTCCGAGATTATCACTTCAGCGCTGCGTCAATTAGTATCAGATCTATGTTCATCCAATCCGATGGCAGGTGATGAAGTCCCTTTTTCTCGAACTGAGTTTGACATACTGAAGACCGATGTTAATCAGATGAAGACTGTGATAGAATGTATTGCATCGATAGTGGAGCGTCTGAACACGAGAGGAGTTCAAAATCACGTTGATGATCGCCAACGGCGTGATCTGACTCCACATGATGAATTCAATAGTGATGACTATGAAGCCTCACGCCTTGGTTATGATCGCATAGACCACCAAAGACAGGACAATTATGACACTAGAAGATTAAAAATATCATCCTTCAATGGAAAACTTCATGCTGATGATTTCCTTGATTGGATTGATAAAGTGGATAAGTATTTTGAGTATAAAATAATCCCAGAATGTTGAAAAGTTAAATTAGTGGTCTACAGGCTTAAAGAAAAAGCATCTGTATGGTGGGATGAAGTACTGATAAATCGATACCGTGAAGGGTAGGATTCGGTTTGAACGTGGGCAAAGATAAAGAAATTATTGAGAAACCGTTTCTGACCTTCTAACTACAAGCAATGTCAGGTGTCTTTAAAAAAATCTTTTACCTTAGCCACTATGGTCCGTCTAGCGAAGAAGGTGGAGCGAGAACTTGAGCAGAACAACATACGACTTTTATCATGGATGTTTTTAGAGAGTTATCAAACTAGTTGTGATTATGGAAAAATTAAGAAACCTCAATTTATCTCTGAGAAAGAGTCTGGATTTGTGAAGAGCACTGAGGAAGCACCAATAAAGACTTCATCAATTATGTCAATTATAGAACCGAAGGCATTTAAGACATAGATTGCTAAGGAGAAGGCTTCTCTAGTGGCAAACAACAAGACACTCACCACCGGAATGAAGATTTTGCCACCATCAAGATTCATTCTGAGGTTCCTGATGTTGATGATGATATGTTAATGAAGATGAATATTCTACATGATATTGTGAGTGATGTGATGATGATATGTTAATGAAGATGAATATTCTACATGATATTGTGAGTGATGTTACACATATTGATATTATCCCGATGGAGGAGAATGAAGATGAATATTCTACATGATATTGTGAGTGATGTTACACATATTGATATTATCCCGATGGAGGAGAATGATAAAATAGAGAGCGAGACAATTAATGATATGTGTGCATTGGTTGGTGGAGAGCTTGAGATAAAAGAGATGAAAGAATTGTGTATGGAGTATGAGGAAGAAATTTTTTTTTTGAATCAATAGTCATTAATACTTTTAACAATGGTGAGATGATACCGTCGACACTAGAATATGTGAAGCAACAAAGAAAAAATTTGGAGGAGTTTTTCATGTCAACTACAGAGCCACATATTGCCAGTTACATACACATGTCATAGAAAAGATTCATACACAAGTTTGATACAAAAGAAATCCTAGCAGAGGAGGTAAAAGAACAAATGGAGAAAATCAATACTAAATACAAGGCCAATGCTGATCATTGCAAATGAAGAAAATTATTTATCAATGAAGCTACTATTCTAACAAATATAAGCTCGGGGTCGAGCTTCTTTCAACAAGAGGAGACTGATGTAGGACGCTTAACGGACAATTTCATGGAAGATTCGGAGAATCACGAGCTACACGTATTATTGACTTTCGCAAAGAAACAATCATATTTTTCAATCAGGAAGGCGAATTTTGACATATTATATATATAAATTGCCTATCTCGATGAGACGGAGCCAAACAAATTGTTAGATTTTTAAAATCTTATCAGTAATACCTAGTTTTGGCTGAAATCTAAAAATAATCAGCTTTTAGTTTATTTTTAGTAATACAATTGGAGTCTATTTAGATTAGGAAATAAATTCAATATTAGAGTCCAATTAGATTAAGAAATTCAATTTTGATTCATGATTTGTTTCCTCTATTATAGGGAGTTTTTTTAGGATAGAATTTGATACTTTCTATTTCTTTGTAATTCTAATCTTAATAGGAGTCTTGTTTATTTTCTATTTAAGCTGAGAATTGTAAGCCCTAGACTCATAGAGGCATAACTTTTTATCAATAAATTTTTTTAATATTTTCTTTGTGGATTCGAAGATCGTTCTTTATGTATTCAGAGAACACCTCATGGTGGATTCCGATGTTATCACTTCCGCACTGCGTCAAAAAATCACTCTCAAATATAACATACCCCAAAAAATTGGCATATTTAAGTTTAAGCCCATAGCCCAAAAAATTCATAATTTTTTTATACCTAATAAATATTTCAACAATTTTCTATATGGTATAAGTCACTACATTTTTCTATAACTTGCTACCTTTTCCATATGGGGTAGCCAAATGCTTGCATCACTATTAAAATTTGTTTTCACACTAAGGTTGCAAAATTTGTGAACTATAGATGAGTTATTTTTTTGTAAACTCAACTAAGATTTGCCTCTATTATTTTGAAAACTCGCTCATTTCAAAAACGATATTGTACCTATAAACCCAAGTTTTACCTCCATTTACTTTCCAAGTCAATATATGAGAAAAAAAAGTCTAAGTCATTGTCTAGATCAGGTGCTAATTCAGCATTTTGTTGCTGATTTTACATTTAGCGGAACCTAGTTTCTTGCGAAGCTTAACGCACACTATAGCATAGACATCCGTAAAAGAACAAATGGAGAAAATCAATACTAAATACAAGGCCAATGCTGATCATTGCAAATGAAGAAAATTATTTATCAATGAAGCTACTATTCTAACAAATATAAGCTCGGGGTCGAGCTTCTTTCAACAAGAGGAGACTGATGTAGGACGCTTAACGGACAATTTCATGGAAGATTCGGAGAATCACGAGCTACACGTATTATTGACTTTCGCAAAGAAACAATCATATTTTTCAATCAGGAAGGCGAATTTTGACATATTATATATATAAATTGCCTATCTCGATGAGACGGAGCCAAACAAATTGTTAGATTTTTAAAATCTTATCAGTAATACCTAGTTTTGGCTGAAATCTAAAAATAATCAGCTTTTAGTTTATTTTTAGTAATACAATTGGAGTCTATTTAGATTAGGAAATAAATTCAATATTAGAGTCCAATTAGATTAAGAAATTCAATTTTGATTCATGATTTGTTTCCTCTATTATAGGGAGTTTTTTTAGGATAGAATTTGATACTTTCTATTTCTTTGTAATTCTAATCTTAATAGGAGTCTTGTTTATTTTCTATTTAAGCTGAGAATTGTAAGCCCTAGACTCATAGAGGCATAACTTTTTATCAATAAATTTTTTTAATATTTTCTTTGTGGATTCGAAGATCGTTCTTTATGTATTCAGAGAACACCTCATGGTGGATTCCGATGTTATCACTTCCGCACTGCGTCAAAAAATCACTCTCAAATATAACATACCCCAAAAAATTGGCATATTTAAGTTTAAGCCCATAGCCCAAAAAATTCATAATTTTTTTATACCTAATAAATATTTCAACAATTTTCTATATGGTATAAGTCACTACATTTTTCTATAACTTGCTACCTTTTCCATATGGGGTAGCCAAATGCTTGCATCACTATTAAAATTTGTTTTCACACTAAGGTTGCAAAATTTGTGAACTATAGATGAGTTATTTTTTTGTAAACTCAACTAAGATTTGCCTCTATTATTTTGAAAACTCGCTCATTTCAAAAACGATATTGTACCTATAAACCCAAGTTTTACCTCCATTTACTTTCCAAGTCAATATATGAGAAAAAAAAGTCTAAGTCATTGTCTAGATCAGGTGCTAATTCAGCATTTTGTTGCTGATTTTACATTTAGCGGAACCTAGTTTCTTGCGAAGCTTAACGCACACTATAGCATAGACATCCTAGTATGGTAGGAAGACTCATTTTAAGACCATACGAACGATAACAAAACTAAGCCATTGAATTAAAAGGCGAGTAGTCCTTGTGTCCAAACTCACTCTTAACCATAAATAATTCACATAATTAAATTTCATTCTGCTTTACATGTTAGTTGTTTAGTATGCTTTAACTTGCTATTTATTGCTTTGCCTTGCTAAATCAAATATTTAATTTTTTTTCCTTTTTATATGTTAATGCCGTGGTATCTCATAAATCAATTTTACTCTCGTTTATACTACATGTTTTGGAAAGATTGTAATCAGATACAACTATTTTATTTAATGTGGCCATGCTCTTCACTTTTCTTACTTATGTTGGATGATCAAGCTTTTTAAGTGAAAAGTCGGCCAAATTTTTTCCCCAAAATTTTGCCAAAAATAAGATATTATTATTGAAAAAAATTCCAACCAAATTTACACTCAATTTATCCTCCATGTTTTAAAAAATCCATTTATTAAAAAAATTATCGTCCATTCCAGTTCAACGTCCCTACGGAACAGTTTAACTAAAATTATCCTTCAACGTGGCCAGCAACTGAGGCTCCTCCCCATCCATCCGAGCATCCAAGCCACCGGATCCATGGACCCTTCGATAGACCACTTTAACCAACGGCTGCGATCAACGCGATCTAGCCACGTGTGCATCAAGATTCAAGCTCCCACTCCCTCTCTCCTCTCTCTCCCTCTCTCTCTCTCTGGGGGCATCATCGAGGTTTCAAAGGCCTCGTCTTTAGTTTTCTCAAACAAACGGCGAGGGCTTCCGTCCCAAAATCCCCACTCGAGATTTCCATCCCCATATCTACTCTCCCTCTCTCTCGATCTCCGATTCAAAATTCAATCCGAGTATTCATTCGAGCGAGCGCGAGAGAGGCATCGTCGATTGTGATCAGAGCTTGAAAAATCTAGGGTTTCTGTGTTTGTTCGCGGAAGTTCTACCCAGAACAGAGGATTTCGTGCTGTTATCCAATGGCGGACGAGCAAAGGGGCTTGAATCGAACAGCGTCCCGAGATTCTGCGCTAGTTGTTCCTTGTTGTTGAGAAAAAAGGGGGAAGTCTCTGTGTTTCTCTTCGTTTTTGAAATTTTCTGGAGATCTAGGGTTTGCTTTAGTTGTATGAGAGAGATAGAGGATGGTGGGAATGGACGTCGAAGTAGCTAGAGACGTCGGTTCATTTGATCCGGACCTGTTACAGCTACAAGAGATCTCTTCCATTGCGTTGAAGGATAACCCTCAGATTGCTGATCAGCTCTATTCTCAGTGGCTTACACTTCCTGAAACTGCTAGATTGGTAATATTTAAGTTGTTTTGCTTTATATTGCGTTTGCGAGTAGTACTGTCGAATTATTCGTGGGCGTAGAGTAAACTTTTACCCTGTTTAATTTTATGTATCAGGATTCAGGCGTGTGAACTTCAATGTTGTAGTAGAATAGGCATCTTAATTCGCAAATATACGGTTAAGTCTAGCTTTGAAGGACTATTCTAGTACTTTAATGATGTTAGGGAATCTATTATAGTCAAAATTTTATAGTTTTCACTCCATTAAAAGTTGGAATTTCAATATTTTAGACAGAAGAATTAGCAGAGCAACAACAACAACAACAACAAAGCCTTTATCCTAAAATTTTCGGTTGGCTATCATGCATCCTATGCTTCCATTCATTTCTATTACGGGTTATTTTTTCGTTTAGTTACTATTCTTATAACCTTCTTACTTGCTTCTAACCAAGTTCTTTTAGGTCTATTTCTTGCCTTCTTTGCCCCATTAACTATAAAGATAGAAGATCGTAACAATTTATTGGCAAAAGGAGAAAATATTGTGGGGGGAGCTATTCAGTGAATCTGATCAAGAGCATGATTATCAACATTTAATAGTGAAAATAACCAAAATTCAAAGTTGGGAAAATATCAAGGAAAAACTAATGAATAGTGTGATGGTAGATACAGAAAGCTGTTTAATGGAATTGATTATCAGTATTTGACATAAACAACAAAAAACGTAGTAAGTATCTGTCATATTGTTCTGATTTTGGTCATCAATGTTTCCTATTTAACATAAGTACCACGCAAGACATGTAATGTGGGGTAAATAACAAGGAAATCATGTTGACCTAGAATACTGTGAGGCACCTGAAGGCTATTTTGGAGAGCCGATCATTCTAAGGAAAGATTAGAGCAGGAAGAGGCTATAAATTTATTGCTTTTCTATTTATGAATTCCTTTTTCATCTGCGTCTTTATTGCATCAGTGACTCATCCAGTGAATGTTACTATTTTTTTATTACTGAGAGTATTCTATTTGGAATTTTATTAGCATTTAAATAAGCCTTGATATTTTCATTATTCTTTCAAGTTGCACACTCTTGATGACCATCTTGCTGTTGGAATCCAATCCTATATATTAATGCTTTGTCATAAACAAGGTTTTAAATGTCGCCCGACATGTCGGCCGACATATCGGTTTGAAGGCTTGACCGACACGACATGGACGTTTTCAACTTGTATGTCAGTTTTCAGGGCCAAATCGGAAATATCAGGGTCATATCGGGCATATTGGCCTATTTTTTAGCTTTAAAAAATTGACCGATATGGTACTTTTTTTAAGATCTGTTTTTTGTCATGGCGTTTGGCTTAGTGATAAATACTCAAACTCTTTAGGCCCGTTCTCATGTTTAAGGGTTTCTTATGAACCCTATAGAAAAAATTTATGAACCTAAATCCATATATTATTTACTTTTTTATATGTTTAGTCTATAGAATTTATAAAGTATGCTTATATTGAATTTATGAATGCTTAGATTACATTTAGGACACAATATTATACATATGCGCACTACCCGATATAGAAATCCGATATTTAGTCAATGTCCCCCGATATATCCTCGATTTTCGCTATCCGACATGGATTTCAACCATCCGACATGAACCCGACATCCAACATTTAAAACCTTGGTCATAAAAGATGGGTTCCTTACTGAGTTTAAAGAAAGCAAAGACTTAAATTTCGACCCCTCATCTTTGAAAAAGAATTAGTAACATCATGTTATATATTAGAACTGATTTTGGCTTCCATGTTGCTTGATATTATTAACTAAAGTAATGTTCTATCTCATTATTTCTACCCTTTTTGTTTGTTTTACAAATCTGATTCTGCTATCTAGTGCAGCTACAGGAATGTTAAAAAAATTATCATTTGCGCCAGGGTGACCTTCTCTTTTTGGTTTCCTTGGGCCCTTATGTCTGTGCTAAATGTTGTCCACTCTCTGCCAATTAAGTGGTCACAGGTCTCACCATTAGCATGTGCATGTAGGTAAAATCTTTGATTGAAGATGCAAAGTCAGGACTGCCTTTAAATGTTTCTGGGAGTTCCAATGGTGCAAATGCTACTGCAACCAATTCGTTGCCCTCCATGTTCCCTGCAGGCAGTGCACCTCCACTTTCACCAAGAAGCAGTTCTGGATCTCCACGCTTTATGAAACGTAGTTTAGGTGCTGGCCCTTCACATCTAGGATCTCCTCTGAAAATCGTTAATGAGCCTGTAAAAGAAGTTATACCTCAGGTACTGGCTTAATAAATCATTTCTTTTTGTAACCAACGAAATATTTAGCAGGATATGGAGATTGGGAAGTTAGACCTTAGTTATGATGGTTGTTTGTTGTCTGTCATGCAGTTCTACTTCCAAAATGGGCGCCCACCGCCAAATGATCTGAAAGAGCAGTGCTTATCCCGTATTGATCAGATTTTCTTTGGCCATATGGATGGACTTCAAGTCCAAGGTGGTATTTCCATTTTTCATTATTTAATGTCTCTTAATCGAATGCTAATAAACTATTTTGTTGTTGCTAAATAAGACTTTAAGTGTGTCACAAAGGAAATCTGCAAGCTACCATCATCCTTTTCCAATGTCCTTTTCAGAAAGATTGATGTTGATTGCACAGGAATGGTAACAAGGTATGCAAACTTTCTTGTATAATATTGATTAAATCTTAAGTTGATGTATTCACGTGCAACACATTCTCTGTTATTTGTAGTTTGGCTTTAAATGGGTATACATTGTACAAAATGTTCCCTTTTCTCCTATTATTATTATTTTCTTTGTTAAATCTCATTGTTAAATAAAGTAACTGTTATAATTGATGAATGTCTTGAGTGGAGTTGAGAAATGGTGCCTTTGTTCTGTGAGTAAGGTAGAGCCAACCTTTTGGGAAATTATAAGAGTGTTGGGAATACAAGGGCATTGAGGAAAGTTTTTCCTTGCAATGCTGATATACATGATAAGAACATGGATTGTAGGAGAAAAAATAGAAGGCACAAATACTTCCACATTTAGCATATGCAGTTATCTCCAACGCAAAACATAACACGAAATACTTTTTTGTGGTATCTACTATTATCTTTTTCCGTATCACGAATTACTTATATCTAAGACATGGAGAGTTGAGTTTACTGTGGCAACAGATTGTATTTCCAACATACTTTGTTTCTGTTAAAGAAAAAAAATCCTGACATCGCTTTGTGTTTCTAATTATGTGTTGGAGGATGAAAACAACTTAAAGACTAGCCTTTTTTCTTTCTTTCTTTCTTTTTTAATTAAATTTATTCTAGTCAAAGTTATTGACTGTAATTTTCAGTTAAGAGGTAACTTAGTTCATGGTATGGTTTCAGGGATGCCTTCGTTAAGTATTGGATTGATAGCAACATGATGACGAGGGATATAGCTACACAAATATTCACAATTTTGAAACAACCAGATAGGAAGTACCTCACTCAGGTCAGTCCTATGTTAAGGCAAACCAAATTTCATATTATTGACGTACAGAAAAGTTTAATTTCTAATCTCAGTTCAAAATGTGTGGGTATAGGAGGACTTCAAACCTGTTCTGCGAGAACTTTTGGCAAGCCATCCAGGGTTGGAGTTCTTGCAAAGCACTCCTGAGTTTCAGGAAAGATATGGTGAGCTCTCTTAGCTATTTCCATTCCAATAACTGAAGTAGCATTCCTGTCTAATCATGTGTAGAGTCCTGGAACATGGCTTGCTACATAGGTGCATGCTTTCCTTGTAATTGATGATAAGCACAACATCTTTTGCTTCATAGTCGTATTTCACAATGCCTGTTGCTCTTATTTTCAACAATGCCTTTTCTGTTACGAGTTATCAATTAGTGCTTGTTCCATCTTAGGCTTTAAGTTATGGTGCTGTTACTGTGACGTGGACTCTATAAAATTCGATCAGAATCAACTCTTTTATAAGACTTAGCAATCTGTATTGACTCATAATCCGGCAACGTATTTATGGCTTGTCTAGTTGGATGGTGTGAAGTACTCTATTTAGTAATGGTGTGACAGATTAACTTAAGATGCAGCAAAAGAAGTTGAAAGGTGCTTATCCAATACTTGGAAGAGATGCTATAGAGCTCAGTGAAAGAATATATGACAATTAGACTTGACTTTTTGGAAATTAAAATGTTAGGAAATAAAGAATGCTGGTAGCACATGAGAAAAACGTATAGGGAATACGATTAGGGTAGAGGTGGGGTTAAGGTTGTAACTCAGAAGCATGTTGAACATGGTAGCTAGTCTTTAAGTCAATTTTAATTTGAGCTTGAGATAGGAAAAGGATTTAAGTTCATTTTGAATAGTAATGTGAAATGGGAAACATAAGATGAATGTTAGGAGTGAATGTAGCTGCAGGGCCAAGTAGGGCTGTGAGATATACCTAATTAGTAATAGCTCACTGATCTTATGTAGCCTGAGGTTCGTAGGGGAATTGAGTTCATTTTGAATAGTTATTTGAGATGAGACACATAGGGGCAGGTTAGGTGTGTATGTAACTCCAGGTCCAAGTAGGGCTGTATATACCCAATAACCCACTAATCTCATGGCTAGCACGTTGATCATGGAGGATTTTTATATGTGTGTTGGTTATCCATTGGTCAGGCTCTGATCCTGCTGTTTCAAACAGATAATAGTGAATTCAACCCTACGTTTATTTGCCCATTTGCATATATCTTTATATACTTTCAGTTCTTAAGTTTAAGGACAATATGATCAAATTCTGTTAAAGTATTGTTGAAAACTCAAGTTTCCCCCTAAAGTATCAATTTACCTATTTCCCCTCTTAAACTATATGTATGTGCCTAGTGTGGTCATTTTGTGAGCCCACAATCAAATATTTAACAGCTTAAAGATGTGATAGTATTTGTTTTGCATTTGTGGTATTTTAGGCAATTTAGAAAATTATTTTTAAATTTCAAAAGAGGGTTAAGGAGTAAACATTTTTGGAACAAGTAGTTAAGGGATTTTTTTGGTCTAGGATAAAGAGAAGACAGACCGATAAAAAACCGTGAAGAAATGCAAAGAAACACCATAATGTAATATGCTAAATATTTGACCATGTGCTCAGGAAATGACCACATTGAACCCACGAACATAGTTTAAGGGATAAAATAGGTAAATTGATACTCAAGCGTGGAAGTTGAGAGTTCACTCATACTTTTAGGATGAATTAGTTATTTTGTCCTAAGTTTAACTTGTGTGTGCGCACATGCATGTGCACGCGCACATCATATATTCCGTTGATAAGATGCTCTGCTAACCCTTTTTAGTACAGTCCCTTTGAATGATTCTTTACAACTTCTGTTAATATTTGTTACTTTCATTTAGATATTACTAAAATACTTTCATAGTCATTTCATGGAAAATATGTTGGCTACGTACGAATAAATTAAATAGGAATCTGATAATATACACGAGCCATGAGGATACAGAACCAACCCTTGTTACTTTCTCTATACCAACCTTGCTTCCTTTTATCAGTTTTGGGTCTGATTCAATCATATTTTTGTTCTTGGATGCTCGCAAATTAATTGTTTTTTTTGTAACGCTAAAGTTTTAAGGGCGAGGAGTTTAAATCTAATATTTTTTTGTGGATACACTAATGGGTGTCTATCAAGAAGCTTGACTTAACAACACAAGTGGATGTCTGTTTGCTAGATTTGGAATATTTATGTTTTGAGATGCACAATTGGATTACATTGATTGTATACATCTTGGTATTCTAGTATACATAAATTGCAGTACCAGTCACTGTGGCTAATGTTTTTTGTAACACTGGTGTGATTGGCCTACATTGGTCCTTCTCTTACATGCATCTTTATATGCTCGTGTAGTAATATTCTACATTGTAACACAAAGGAAAGCAGTGGCCGTTCACGTTCACTCACTCAAGTTAGGGATGCAACGAAAACGCGGAACTGAAAGCATATATCCGTAATAGGAGGAAGCAGACATAGAAGTTAGAATATTGGCTTAATATATAGGAGAATTGGCATCAAATTGGCAAATGTGTTTTCATTCAAGTCCTTGCTGAAGTTTTCGTTAGTCTTTCTCCAATAAAAAAACTGTGGCTAATGTTGTTGGCGTTTAAGAAAATTCTTTAGTGGCATTCTTCTGAGATGGCCATATTAGATAAATGTATTTTGTTTCAAATGGAGTTGAGCCTAATAATTCAGTGCTGTGCATATGTTGCATTCTTAGACATGCATCCTTCTATGTTCAACTTATCATGTCTATTATTGCCTTTAGCATCATCGTCTTCAACATTTCTCTAAGGCAGTGGTTTCCCACTTTATTCTTTCAAGGAAGCGTTAGAAATGTACCGGGTGAGTTGATATTCCTGCCAGTGTTTGAGGAAGCAAGGCACGGTGTACAGATTGGTGCTACTGCTGCCTAGCTTCCTAGGAGAAATTTTAAATGTTGTATATTAGTTCATGATGGGTATTTATAGAAGCAGTAGCTTCAAATACGTGGGGACTACAAGATATTTTTTGGGTTGTATCCTAACATTCTTTTTAAAATAATGACTGGATCACAATGAACCTTCGCTCACACTGATTTAGCCAGCATCCAAAATTGAGTGTAGTAGGAATGATAACAGTAAGATGGATGGTTGACAATATGCCAACATAGAGGGAAATAAGAAACTGGTATCCCCAAGAACTTACAGGTGATTCTCAATATAAAATGTGGGAAGGCCCAATAAGATGGTTGGGCTGGTGTAGAGGAGGCCGGAGAGTGTGAAATTCGAACTTACTCGATCCTAATTAATTGAGGAACAAAACTAGAATTAAACCTAAAGAGAGATGGATGGAGGAATTAACAAGGACAGGTTGATGCTGTTCTGTCTGAATTCTGAAGTGATGGCTCTTAAAAAGCTGAATGGAAGAAAAAGATCCATCCAGAAAAGCTCTGAACCTTTGAAATTTTTGTGTTCTTTCATCTATTTCGTGTCTTTTTTCTTGCAACAGTGCTTTGTCTCAGTACCTTGTGCTAGTTTTTATGTTAATCTTACATCTTTGGAGCTTGTTAAGAAAGTGATGGTATCTTCTCGGACTTTGTCAAACCTTTACAGGATCTTGGTCAATATAACCAGCAAACCTTAGGCACCAATGTCTCAGGCTTTAAATATAATGCTTTGTTTCTGAAATCTACAAATGAATCGTGTTTGTTGAAATATCGTTTTATCAAATATCTGTAACAATTCTTACAAATTGCTGTGCTTCATATATGACATTATGTGTTAGTTTGTGTAATTTAGTGTGGTTTACATATATATTTCTTAATATCAAGTGCCTCAGCATTTGTCTAACATATGATTGGATTGTTGCAACCAGCGGAAACTGTCATATATAGAATATTTTACTATGTGAATAGATCTGGAAATGGCCACCTCACCCTCAGGGAGCTTAAAAGAGGAAATTTAATTGCTGCATTGCAGCATGCTGATGAGGAAGAGGATATTAACAGAGTTTTAAGGTACGCCATGTTGGCTAGTATAGTTTTTTTTTTCAATTTGCATGACGTTTTCTTAATGGTTGTTATTTTCCATGTGTTGCTTCTTAGAGGCCAGTATGATGAAATTATTCTGAAACTTCAATAAATATGTTATCTTACGCTCAAGGTGCAAGCATAGTTTTGCCCATGAAGATTGCCATAAAAAACCTACTTCGACCACTTCAGCCAAATGCCAGAGCAAATGCTCCTAGTTCGCTTTGCAGTCTCGGAGTCTTGCTTTGTCTGGTTTAGGGGCCTGAAACTCCACTTCTATCTGCATTTTAACTAGTGTGCTAAAGTGGGAAAAAAGGTCCCAGTTTAATCTTTCACTTATTCTGTGCAATTCAACTCTATGAAATCATCTGTGGTCTCTCTATGGTCCCAGTGGTAACTAGTGTTTAAAAAATCGGTTGACATGCCTGACAAGTCAGAAGTGTCATCTCATGGGGCTTGCAAGAACAAGAAAGGTTTTACATGTTTATAATTTTCGAAAATGATAGATGGCATACCGGGTATTTCCTGATAAGTTGGGAGGAAGTTTGGGGTTTTTTCAATATGTCAGGTGACATTGTAACATCAAATCTCAGTCAGAATGATGCTATAGTAGGTTCTATGGTAAAAATCATTTAAATGTTCGGTTTGTATTTAAGGCTCAAACCCAAATATGAATCTCTTGAACCTTAACTGCCTGTTACCCTTTCACCCTGAATTGTATGTCACCATCAGTAAGCCCCTCCTCTTTCTTGATCGCTTTTTACCTCTCGTGATTCCTTTATTTGTATCTCTTCTAATCTCTCTACCCCCTAAACATATCTTGTTTACATGATTTTGTTTTTTGTATTTTAGAGTTCATTGAGGAGATCTATATGTACATGCACTATCCAATGACACTTCAATATTTACTAAGGATTTTTTCTGTCCGACACGATTGATGACTCCCATATCTGAGATTTCGAACACTGATGGTGGTCAACAACTGTATTTATTAGGAAAAAATCTTGTAACTACAAAAGGTTTGTCAAATATTCAAAAGTTTATTTATTAGTGATTTAATAATGTTTGTGTAAGCCAAAATTCTTAAATTTTTGTATTATGTTATTTTCCTTATTCTCATCGTTTGTCTTTACTCTATAATTTTGTAAATAATTGACTTTTTTACTTTTGTAAAAAAACTTTATTGATTCAGTTGCACTTAAAGTAGTATATTTATAAAGAAATTTTAATACATATATTGTTGTTAGTACTTCCTAGATGTCTTCTTAGACTTTATATTGATGATTCAGTTATTATTTATTGTACTTGTCTTTGAGGTGCTTCAGTTGTTATTTGTCATTGTCTATAGTCTTGAACCATTAGATATACCTTTTCCTTTTTAGATTTCTCACATTTCCATTTATTATTATTTTTTTCATTTGTTTAGTTTTTAATTCATTGGAAGAAATGTATTTGGTGGTTTTCACCGCTAAAGCTTATAAAATTCTAAGCCATATCTTGCTGCTTTGCCCTGTTTTTTTTGGTTTACACAATTTGTGGGTTTGTGCCTCCAAATTTGAAGGATCAAATGCGCACACACAAGGCATCTCCGATACCTCCCAACCCTCCTCCCCCAACAAAACATGCACACACATTATCACTGCCACCAGAAAGAAACTCTAACCAAGAAAAGGAAGATAAATTTTGTAGGTCCTGCTTGCTTGAAAGAACAGCTGTATAGAAGCTTTTAGCTATAACATTGGCTGTAAAATTTTGCCAGTGTCTTTGAGCCTAATGTATCGTATTGTGTAGTAAGCTGCTTCATCTGGCTGGGGAACTGCCTAACCTGTTCCATGCATATGGATTGAAAGCAGAAACAACGTGAAGTTCTGATATTGCTCATTTTGTGCAGGTATTTCTCTTATGAGCATTTCTATGTGATATACTGCAAATTTTGGGAGCTGGACACAGATCATGACTTCTTGATCAATAAGGAGAACCTTATCAGATATGGAAACCATGCACTTACTTACAGAATAGTTGATAGAATTTTCTCGCAGGTTTGTGTTTACTTTTTACCAGATATTATGTGAACAACTTATCTATACTGAGTGATAATCTGCTTCTTTATTTTCTTTTTTCTTTTTTCAAATTCTTACATAGGTTCCAAGAAAATTTACCAGCAAGGTCGAAGGAAAGATGGGATATGAAGATTTTGTTTATTTCATGCTGGCAGAGGAGGATAAATCATCTGAGCCCAGCCTTGAGTACTGGTAATGAGATGCATGCCAATTAATTACTATGATAAGCAATTTCACGCATAGGTTATAACAAATTTTCTGATTTTCTTTCATAGCTAGATATTTCTTTGGAAAATACAGTTGTATTAAAATGAATCCATTTTTCTAAATGTGAAATTTAATAGTTCAACAGCGGGGATAGGGAATAATCCAAGAATCTTTGGTTCCTATATGCTTCTTGAAGGCTTCAAAATTCAAATACAACTCTATTTCTGTGGCTCCTACCAAGTAGTCTCATCAGTCTCTGCTGCTCGGATGTAAACATCTCAAGCAATTCTCTTTCATATTATCCCATTGAAGAAACTTCTAGCTTCTGGATATCACTCATTGCTTATCCTATTTTTCTCAAATCGCTGATTGTCCATCTCAACATGTGAGATTTTACATACAATTCAACAAGCCTTGTTTGCTATTCTAGTCAAAGCATTCTTATATTATTTAGGCTGGCATCTGGCCATATCACATTCTTTTCTTTACTTTTTTTTCCTTTTTCCCCCTTTTTTTCCAACGTATACTTGATTTGAAAGCATTCTAGTCAAAACATTCATGGCTTGATTGAGTTGGTTGTACATCAAATCATAGCTTTTTTGAAATTCTCTTGTCCTTTCTCTTCTTCTCCTTTCACTTTAATAACTTTATATTAGACCTCTCCTAGAGAAATATAGTCTGGGGACTTATGTCCATGATATGTTATAGATAATATGTCATAGATGCATCCAAGATCTGAATTTAGAAACTGAATGTGTTAATTGATTCAGAAAGTTTAATTCGACCCTTAAATGCATTAAGTTTCGACAATTTGTCCAGCATCTTATTGAGGGAATATGGTTGTTCACATAGCTATTCAGTCATATAAACTTGAAATAATTTGATGATAATTTAAGAAGTAGTGCTTTCTTGCTCTCACAATTTCATGGTATGTTTAAAGAAAATAAACACTTGCTTATTCATATATAACTTTCTAGTTATATCTGCAATTTTCACTTCTTTGTCTGTTGTGTGTGTGTGTGTGCATGCATACATATTACATATTATCTTTTCCATATCTTTGTGGGACCTCTCCCCTCGTTTTGAAAATTTCGCATGTTCTCCATGTTTGTATCAGGTCACATATCCGTATCATCTATAATTCATGTCCATGCTCAGTTGAAGAACCATGCTCCACTGAAAAGCACTCTTCTTCAACTGATCATTTATGTATTGATGTATTCAAGCACTTACCTATTGTTGAATTTTCAGGTTCAAATGTATTGATTTGGATGGAAATGGAATCCTCACACCCAATGAAATGCAATTCTTTTACGAGGAACAATTGCATCGTATGGAATGCATGGCTCAGGAACCTGTACTATTTGAAGACATTTTGTGTCAGATGGTTGATATGATTGGACCAGAGGTCATTCTGTGTATATGTTTTATTTTATGGATTTATTTTATCTTGACTAGTTAATGATGACTGAAGTTTTTCTCACGATCTATGTGCAGAATGAAAGCTACTTTACGCTGCGCGATTTGAAGGGCTGCAAACTCTCAGGGAATGTTTTTAATATTCTTTTCAATCTCAACAAGTTCATGGCATTTGAAACCCGTGATCCGTTCCTTATTCGTCAGGTGAGTTCAGTGTCTCACAATTTATGTATATTTTACATCTCTATGATCTCAAGTAAAGTAGTTTTTCTGGAATTCAAGTTGCATTGCTATGCTGTGAGCTGATAGCTTTTTCGATTTGCAGGAGCGTGAAGAACCGACATTGACAGATTGGGACCGCTTTGCCCACAGGGAATATTTAAGGCTGTCCATGGAAGAAGACGATGCCTCTAATGGAAGTGGGGATGTTTGGGATGAATCCCTTGAGGCTCCCTTTTGAAATTGAAGTCAGGTAAACGACTTGCGTGTAGTTGTCTTTTTTAGCTTGACGCTAAATTTGATATCAGATGGCTCTGAACTTATGGTATTATTTGATGGTAATGGAGATTTCCTTTCATTTTCCTAATTTTAGCCACAGTTCTTGTATACAGTTGTAACAATTTTCTGATTGTCGAAGATGGACATTAATGCATGGACCTTTCAATTCTTTTTACTGGGAAGACTTGCTTTTTCTGGAATTTAAAAATCATTACATAGTGTGTTTTCCTATGGGGATTCTACATATGTTGGAATACTTGCTATCTTGTCATGCTATAATCATTATAAAAATGCTGACCAAGATACTCTTGCTCAACCAATAGGACTTGAGACAGTGGCGTGTGATCCCAACCTCCCATTTATTCCACCAAGATACGTATTCTATTAGGTCCCTACATGTCACTCATGCTCGAGTTTGATTGATTGTAGTCCAAGAAGAATAGCCCAAACACCATGACTTGCTGCATTACATTGACACAACATATTACATCAACAAACATCATAATCTGAAAAGTACACAAAAACAGAAGTATCACGTTAAGTACTGACACATGTTTGACATAGTTTCATGCTAAAGGTTCTTTGCTTCATAAAGCATGACTCATGACTAATTGTTATTGGTAAAGTTCTTACAAAACTAAAGGGGTTAGCTCAATTATTAATTCTTATGTGCATGCACATCTGCCCTCATACAGTACTTTTAAATTAGAAGGAAGGTTGTGTAATAAGAGTGAACTCATGGCAATTGGCTACTGTTGCCATTAAGATTGAAGATGTCGAAGAGAGTGCATGTATGGGGGAGGGGGTGTTTGGAAGGTGCGGAAACTTTAGTAAAAGATTTGCAGAGAAAGTGAGTCCAATCAATAATTGTCTATACTTTCCACATAGATTGCACAATGAGAACTGGTTGCAAAATATCGTCAAATTTTAAAGAACCTTCAAAAGATCGGCGTGCGCTCGGTAGACCATGAGTGGGTAAAAGGTTTGCATGGAGAAGTAAAAATAGCGTGACAATATTCAAGTGCTATATTTAAGAACTATATAAACTTCCATGGGAGAATACTTTATATGTTAATGTTAATTAGCTTAAATCAGTTACTAAAGGGTGAGGCGATTCTGTTAAACAGGAACCAGAACAATCTGAAAAAAAATAACCTGTAGAGCTTTAAAACAGGCAGAAGTGACACCTTCCTTGAAATGACAAACATACCGAGTCATTCAAAACTCAAGTAATCTAAGTCATCCAACATAGATGCCATTCCTATTCCACATGTTATGGCAGGCACCATAATTCTTATATCTTTCTGTTTGTATCTTTAGAGGAAAAACTTAGTTAATTAGACACGCAGCCACATAGCTTCTGCAGTATATTATGTTGAGTTGGTTCATATGCGATATATGGTGATTCTGTAAGATCAGAAAATAGCGTTCAAAATCTTTTTAGTTTGTTGGCTTATTTCTTGTTCTTGCTTGCTTGCTAACTTGGCAACTTGTGCTACAAAAGAGTTCTATTGATATATTCTTGATAACTAATTCAACAAACAACACAACAAAGCTTTTTTATCCCAAACTTTTGGTGTCAGAATTCTTGATAGCGAATGTAATTAAAAGGTCCTCATTCGACTACTGACTAAACACAAACCTTGCATAATCAGAGACCGATACATTCAGTAGAACAACTTTTAACAATTTACTATAATGACAAACTTGGCTTCTTTCATTTCTAAATTACACAAAACTACCATGTATGTTCTTATGTATTTCCACTACCACAAAAACTTCTTAAATTGCAAGAACCTCTGTGGAATTTCTCGATAATTTTCACTTATCCTGCATTATCTTGCCACTTCTTATGCGTCAGTTAGCTTCCACTTGTTAAGTTTCTGGATAAAACATAGTTTACGCGTGGACTTGTGGTTACTTACATGGAATCTCAAGGGAAAAAAGGTAATTCAATGTCATTACTGTTGCTAGAGTGATTAATTTAGCCATTAAGAAATCCAACTTCCATCAACCAACCCAGCTATATTATTTCTCTTGCATTATAGTTTTATTCTCAGCTGTGGCCGCCTTTCATTAATGCCATATGCATGGTTTTGATCTTGTAGGTGACAGCAAGAAAACTAGTCTTTGAGTGCATTTGCTCAAAGCTGAACAGGAAAGCAAATCATACATCGCAAGGGAAGCTTTTACTTATTAAACAAATTTTTTTTTGGGAGCAACATCTGATTTTTTGTCAGAACTTCAGATATAACCTTCGTCAATTCTGTGAGAACTGTGCAACTGATTTCTGGTGGGCAAGATTTTTGTTGCTGAGATAGAAGCTGGGTGAACAATGTTCCTAAGATCAGCAAGCAAGATGTGGAGAGGCAACATTCAAGGCCTTTTTCTATCCATAATCATGAAAGTGGGTATTTATTGGACATTGGTCTTAGTTTTAGGGTAGAATTAAAATTTATCAGTTGGCTGGCATTTTGTTTTCTTTTTCTATTATTCCCCTGTAAAAATTGTCTAAAAAGTATGGGCTGGTTTTGTTGCTGTGTTTTGCTTCTTCCTGACGAGTAAACTGTGCTCAGGTGGTCTGTCTTAAACTTCAGTTTTTTTACATGTTATTCTGTTTATTGGATTCATTATAATGAAAAGAAAGCAAACCATCTATCTCTTTCATTCTGTTAAACTTGTAGGATTCAAATTTTAGATTTGTGAATTGTGATGGATGAACTGATGAAGGTATCATATGTCTTAGAAGTGTGTCTCAAGCATTAATTTCTTTATTTCTTTCTTTCATTTGGTAATTATGTAGTAGTTGCCAGCTAATTCTGGTAACGCGTGGAGCTACCATCAGGTTAAAGCTTCGAACAGTTTGTTTTAAAATTTACACAGACGAATATCTGTTTTAATTCCAGAAGCTTGGTTTACTGTTTCTTCTGAACTTCCATGCAAGCTCTCAAAATCTGTCATTTTTGAGGAGGGAGATCACGGAGCAAGCTTTGGAGCTAATTCAGCCTGGATCAAGTTGAGATCTTCTCAACTGATCGCTGTTCTTGCAGCTTTCGCATACGGTTTCTTATGTGGGAGTTTGTCTTTCTGGTCATTAACAAAAGGGCAAGAGCTGATTGTATTGGTTGCTAACGTCTTCTAAATTTTTGTATCAGCACAGTCACATCCCCTTGAATCTCATAATATGTTCATCGACATCAATTTAGTTGCAATTTAGCCCTTCGTTAAACTGAGGGCGGAGAGAATTTATGGCCGCACGGGTAAATCTCAATCTAGAATTGGAAGCTAAAAAATAGATTAGTGATGTAAATCCGACCGCTCTCATAATAAAGGGGTTTCCTCCTCATTTAGTCGAAAGATATTGTTTACTAATACCAAGACCCAAATTGGACCATCTTCTTCAAGCGTTGTACTGTATTAACTAAACCGATGGCAATGTTTAATCAGCAACGCACCTAAAGTTAGCTTAACCGTCCAAATAAACTCCACACGAAGTAAATTAATTCATGGCATGAATCTAAAATGGAAACTGATCGGAAAGGGACGTGCGGAAAGGAGTTAGTTATGGGTTTCTTAAGGAAGTAACAACATCCACTCATGCAAAAAGGAGGGCCACAGCTTTGCTACGGAAGCGTAGCCGCGGGGTGCCCGTTCGTTGCCACGTCAACAGGGTATGGTTGCTGTTTCGAGCTCTGGATGCGTAGCGGATCCGGGGTGTGTGGATCCCCCGAGGTACTCTTCTTGCAAGCGAAGCAAACGTAATCATTGACGTGCCCTCGTTTTTGTAACAGCTAACCTTACGTGCACCTGAACTATCCCATTCGGGCCCATCTCCACCCTCTCTTGATCCATATAAACAACCTCTTACTATTGTGAAATTAATTCATTCGAAAAAAATTATTGTGAAATTAACACGGTATTCCCATACTATCATCTCAAAAGAGTAGAAATATTTTATGCTTTCCTTATAGAAAGTACCGAACAATGAAGAGACTTTGGCAAGATATCCTTTGCATGAAAAAAAAAGACGCTGACCCATTTAATGCTCGGAGCTAGCCAATAGGAGCTGCAGCAGCACCTGACGCCCTTCTTTTTCCCGCCAATACGATCGACTCACGTGATCCTCTTCCTTGTTTACCCTCGCGAAATTACCAAATTATTCAGGAGACAACCGCTGATTAATTACTCAGCCGAGGGTAGTATGGAAAGAACGATGAGGGAATAATTTCTGTTATCCACGTCAGCACCTAGAAACCGTTTAGTGGGCCCGCTCTGTCTCCTACGCTCAGACCATCGTCGTCTCCTATATAAACTCACTCCGTTCCCATTTCTTGAACCCCCTCTCTCCTCAAGATATCTCGCTGCTCCTTCACTCTCTCTAGAAAACAACAGAGGTCTCTCTCTCTCGCCCTAGATTAAGTTTATTCTGTTTTTGGCTCGGATCTACGTGAGATCTCACTCTTTAGTGAGATCGATGATGATTTAGATGAGATTTTTTTTCCTTCAGTTTTTATCGTTATGTTCGAATGAATTCGATCTGTTTTATCAAAAAAATCGCTAGTAAAATGCTTAACTCTTAATTTTGACGTATTTACAGTACAAGAAGTGCTGATGTGAGATATTTTCTGCAATTTATTTACACGATCTTCGCGTTTTGAGCTTTCAGTCTGAGATCTCACTGTTTAGTGAGATCGATGATGATCTAGAGCTCTTTTTTCCCCCCATCGTTCAGAACAATCAATTTTGTGCTGATCTATTAATAGATCGTCAACGAATGTTTTTCTCTAATTTTTGAAGTAATTACAGCATAAACATTGTTGATCTACAGATATTTTCTGCGATTCATGACATGATCTAGCAATTTCGAGTTATTTTGCTGTTTTCTTTGAGCTAGCTCGAAGAAGGTCTCGTAGCTCTCTGCTAAATTCTTGACGGATTCATATTATAGATTTGATCATCTCAACGTAATCTATAATTCCTCTTCTTCTTTTTTTCCTTTTTTTTTGGTTCTCGTTCACTTAAATTTTTTTTATTGTTTTTACTTTAGATCAGAAAAGTTGAATATAGTTCTTTGAACATTTTCACTGTAGTTAACTGATATTTATATAATTTTCTCCCCTTTTTTTCCTCATACTTAGTGCAGTTGAAAGCAATGGAGCAAGAACTGCCTTCAATGGCCGCCAGTCCCCGCCGATCGCCTATCTCACGTCTGCCTCCCTTCTTATCTGCGGCCACTCTCCCCTCAATTACTACAACAAACTCTGGCGACTACTTCGCCTTCTCTCCGAAAGAGCTCTCACGACTCCGACATCACTTCCCGTTCCTCGCCTGCGGCTTCGAAGACGAGGACGCCGTCTTCACCGAGAACCGGTTGTCCCGCGGCTCCGCCTCCAGTACCAAGACTTCGCCAACCGCTACGACCTCTGCTTGTCTCACCTTGAGGACGCGGCGCGCGAGGCCGAGGCGCTCCGGATCGAGAACGCTCAGCTTAGGATGGCGAACGGCGAGCTGAAGAAGAGATTCAGTGCGCGGACCTCATCGGCTGCTGCTGCTTCTTCCTCTCCGATCTCCATTGCTGATGAGTTTCGGAGGCTTCGGATTGAGAATTCTCCGGCGGTGGTTGAGAGCCCGACGAGCGTGCTGGAGCCGAGGGTTTCGCTGCCGAAGAGCATCTCGGTGAGGTCCACTGGGTACAAGAAGCTGGGCTCGGAGGGAGGGTCGAACCGGAGCAGTCGGACTCGGGTCTCGAAGCCAGTGATGGTTGGATCGGTGAGTCTCCCTGTTCACTTTTGCTCTGCACTCTAGATGACTCTGTTTTCTGATCTATTCGCCTCTTTGCACGAATATTCTTGACATTTTTGCATCATTTTAGATGAAGTGAGCGTAGGATTTAATTTGGTATATTGTGCATCATTTGATGAGTTCCTCTGCTGTTTGTCTTGTTCGTTCATGCTCAATTTATGCTTTAATAGCTTTATATTTTTGTTTCGTGGACGTTAATATTTGATGAATTTGTTAGTGGATGACTAGCTGATCGGGTATTGTTTTGCCTCTTTTCACGAATTTTAACATTTTAGTATCATTTTCTTTAGATGTTTTTTATAAATTATTTTAGCGTCGTTGGAGATAATGTGAGTGCGATTTGAAATTGATCCATTCTTACGATTTACTGTAATATGTCTTTATTTTTTTCTTTCTGCAATTCTTTTCAATTTTCTGTCTGTACCGTAGGTTTGAGAAATTAATGTTATTGCCCTTTGAAATATTATCAGATAGCCCCCATCTATTGGACTAATATAATAAAAAAGATACATATTGAAATCTGGACTTAATAATACTTAATCCAAAGATATATGGATGAATCTACTATATATAACGTCTATTTTATACAATAAGCTGCACACAGTGGAAATTTGATCCGATTAATTTCATGACTTTCCCGGTACGATTATTGATGCATTTCCCGCCCTTTGTGCCTGAAAAGTCTTGAATATGTTTGGCCGTTCCAAATTTTGATTCGCCTTTCAATTTTCCTTTTTTTAGTAAATTACTTTTATATTATATTTAACAACTCTGTTTCTTGCGGAGAAAGTTGGTCCGCATCTTCCTTACTCCTAAGGGAGAGTTCGCACTGCTCATTACACATCTCCTGTTAATCATCTCGTGGGCCCTAATCACGATAATTGCCGTCCGTAACGCTTTTTGATCGTTCACCGTCACGACTCTTACAGTCCACGTGTTTAAACTTCCCTGACAGCAGCAGAGGGTCTACGTCGGCAGCGGCAGCGCGAGCAAAACCCCCTCACCAGAATCCGGCCTGGAGCTGGAGGTCTACAACCAAGGCATGTTCAAGACCGAGCTCTGCAACAAGTGGC